GGCACGAGTTGCTTATAAAAATTATAATATGAGTTTAGAAGAAGAAAGAAAAAGAAGAAAACAAAAAGAAAATGATGAAAATGCTTCAAAGAAGTTATTGCAAGAAGAAAGATTAAAACGAGATGATGCAAATAAAAGTAAAGATGAGGTGAAACAATTAGAAATCGAACTAAAAAAGAAAAAAAATGATGGGAAGCAAGTGTAACGGGAACTGAGACCAACTAATAGTGATGTTATTTCTTTGAAGACTCCAAAACAAGCACTTTCAGTGACATCAAATCGATCTGCAACTCTACTTGTGTTTGCAAGGTCCCATGATGTAATCAAAACACTTTTTTCTTTCGGTATTTCTGGCCATCCACCATGGTAAGACTTTGAGGTCTCAAGTAAACCTAAAATGCATGTATAATTTAAACAATATTGCAGACTGTATATGAATTGATAAATTCTCAGTCATGAGCAACAACTAGTATTGATACCGAATATTACTTCTATAGATAATTAGTATAGCATATTTATTTATATATAAAATTAACTTACTACATCGCTTATCAACATGGGACATACGAAACAATCCATAATGAATTGCTGTCATAAACACCATTAATTAGAAACTAGGTATTTGGCTTTGGCGTTATATATTTAAAAAAATCCTAAACATATAGTGACTAAACATCATCAAAAAGAAGCTGTTATTTCGTGTTAGGATAGTTTGACATTTGACACTACTGACATTCATCTGATCTGATCATCAAAATCACTTCACTTGACTTATTCTGATAACAATCACTTTAAATCACAACGAAAGAATATCCATATTATTGACGCGAGTACTGATACTTTAGTTATTTTACGTTATATTTATCTTCGAAATATCTCTTAGGGCCAATTTCACCAACATTAATATTATGGACCAATGGGAAAATACCTTATCGAAATGCAATTTGACAGAAGCTGTCAAAGGTCTCTGAATATTAGTGATTTCCATTGAAATATTGAACAAAATCGTGAATATTCGACTGTATTATAAACAAGACCACTTTTTGATTCCAACATGATGCTTTTGTACAGAAAAAACAGGAAAACTTTCGTGTATTTTGATATATGTTATAGGTTTACATTTAACAATCCGTTATCCCCCTCAGCGAATGGGAATGCGGCAAATAATAGGTGGATTTTCTAGCTGTTAAATTTGGCAGCAGATTTGGACGTTTGTTAATGCATGGCACTCTTGAATTTACCAACTTCAATATACTGAAATTATCAATACATACCTGTTGAATAGTGTGGATTTGTCTGTATTTTGCAAGAAAATAGAATATAAAATACATTCCATCCAATTCCTCATCTTCCTTTGCGTCATAATAGTAATCATTTATTAATTTATGGGTTTATGAATTTCTTCGAAGCAATAAAAACATTATGTCCTCTCCATCCTAAAACACAGATAATATATATTTTGTCGATATTTTAGCATTTTAGAGAGTTGGGCACGGAATTATTTGTAAGTACCGTGCGTTTGGCGCGTATAAGTCAGAAACTGTACCGGGTTAAATGTGCCTACAAAGTAGAGCAACCCGTGCCAAAAAAATTGTACTAATCAAATGATAGTCAATGCCTCTATGCTATAATCAGCGGTGAAATTCTAAAATGAAAGTGGAATTAAAAATCATGAGAATTTTATTTACTTACTTGAATCGTATTTTTTAAGTTCTTCCTCCATTTTTCGCATTTTCCGTTTCAAACGGCATATGGCTTCGAGTTTCCGCTTATTAGCTCCTCTGTTTTTTGGCATTTCCGAACACTGGACACACAAATGTACACGTAGCACTTGGCTCACTCAGCGCAAGAAGTACGGAAGGCGGGAGCTGGGTCGAGCGGGCGGTGAATCATCTTTAAACTTGCGCCACACAGCAGTAAGAGGTACTACTACAGGGTGATCTAGGAGGACGTGTCCAACAGAAGTATAATAGACAAACATCCATTACTAGTTTTTTTGATTTTTGGACTTAAAAACCATTATCTGTGAAACATTTTTTGTCTATGTCGATAGTAATTGCATTATGCATCAGGGAGATGTATGGATTGACACGTCTTACATATTATACCCAATTTCCATCAAACTCGTATTGTGAAATTTTTGATGCAAGTTCTTCAAGGAATCCAGCAAATATCTTTTTTGTTTTTTAATTTTTTTGCGAGTGATGCACTCTTTTTTTCCTGCCGCACAACGACTATTATTGTCATCTTCATAAAACTTGTGTATGATTTCTTCAACTCTCTTTTTTTTTTCGCATAGCCTCATATTTTGTATGATTAACTCCCATCTTTTTATATGTAATGGCTGTGTTTCCAAGTCTCCATATTTTATATTTATGTGTCAGTGGACTTGACAAAATCGTTTTTAAGCAGGTTTTTGTTTTGGGTGTCTGAATCTCTTTATCTAAAATTTGCCTTTGAATAATATCGCCAAATAACGCTTTTTTTTATCAATTCTGCTTTTTGATTAGGGTCGTTGGCCATTTCTACAATTTTACTTTCTGGTGTCAGTGCTTGCTTCTTTTGTATCATTCTATGTTTCAGTCTTCTGTTTCTTTGTTGTTCGCTGGCAAGTTTCTTCTTTAAATTTTCAATGAGTAAGTCCTTCCTCCTCAACATACTATTTCTTTTTCTCCGTTGAACTATACTCCTCCTTCTAGCTTCAGCTTCTCTTTCATTATTTAATAAACGAGCCTCAGGAATAATTTCATCTTCCGATGATGGCGGCGTATTTTGGTCCACGTATTTATCTGTATTGTCACGAATCTTTTGTTTTTTTTCTATAATCAGATGAATAGGCTACCTAATTTTTTCTTGCCTTTCTGTGCTCACGGAGAGTCATGTCTTTTACACACTTCCGTTGTCCTTTTTCCTTTTTCTTTAGATATTTTAGTCGTTCCTTTTCTTTGTACTCCGCCAGCAAAACAGGATCATTTTTAATTTTTTCCAATCGCCTCTTTGCCTGTTCAGACTTTTTTTTGCAATTTCCTCTTTAGACAATGTTTTTTTCTTTATAGGCGCCATATTCTACAACAAATACATTGGTATTATGATTAAAACTATGCATCACACAGTATGATCATCAGTCCCTAGATGTGGCATCAGGCCCTAGTCACTATTACGACTAGGGCCTGACGGTCTAGGGACTGACGAAACGAAGCAAAATCAAATGAAAGCTATTATTTTCAATAAATCACTATAAAATCAATAGGCGGTCAAAATAACAAAGCAGACCTAGCTCATACATTCAATAAGTAATGAGATCAATGAGTAATTATATATGTTTAAAACGACTTACCTAGGGCCTGAGAGTTTGACTGGCACAGCACGTGTTTCCGCAGCAAAGTCGGTTACCACACTAATAGCAAAATTGCTGCCGCGGCTTGGCTCGTGTTTGCAACCAACTACACACCGATGCTACCGTATTGAGTGAGTTATGAATAAGTCATATGTTTGGATGCCGCGTATTTTTGAATTTCGTAAATGACTAGGGCCTGATATTTTTTATCGCTTACACTTTTTGACTTGAAATAATGCGATCAAACAAAATTATTTTATACATTAAATCGTAATGACAATGTAAGCAATGTAATAGTAAACAAATTTAAATAGAGTTTCATCAAATTATTATTTAATACAATAAGATTACAGTGACGTGAATACTAAATTTGGGAGATCTTACATGGCTAGGGCCTGATATTTGGAGTAAAAAATGTCAATTTATTGAAATAAAGAATATTATGACATTTATCAAAATTGGTGACCGAACTAAATAGACTATAAAATATCGCTTAGTAGTTTCAGATATAGGATATATATTTTTTAATATTGTGAAAATTCATGCTAACACCAAGTTAACCAAATTTCAGATAACCACTCATATACGCTGTCAAGGACGATGTTTATCTCAACCGCTGTTATCGGAAACAAGTTTTTCTACCTGGGCCGTCGACAGTGATTCATGCACAGATGATTAGGATCGGTTATCTTTTTTGTTACTACCTAAACATGGAGGGTTAAATAAAACTAGCCTCCGTGTTATTCACCAAATAATTTCATGGATCATATAATATTCTTTACGATGTAATCAGTGACGGCTCGTGTTACGATCCAGTCTTAATCACATGTATTTTTATAGATCAACATAAGCTTGGTTGCATTATGGAGTATTATGATTTTTAGCATATTTTATGACCCTTGATAGTATTGCAAGGTTTTTGGACTACTGCAAAAAAGGAAGGGGGGTGGATGTAATCTCCTATCATGACATCCGGCTATTACCTGTTTTATGTTTTTTTCCGTAGCCTTATCATTTATTTCTATCAATTGCTTTCATAAACCTCGGCTAAAACATGGGGTTTTTTCTTTCATCAGGTTCAGACTCCGAGTCCACCACCACGAGCTCGGATATAAGCAATGATTCTGATTCAGATATTTGTAATGACGACAGCCAAACCGAGCGGACCACCGAAGCAAAAAGTGAATTATCCACTATTTTGGGGGAAAATCCAAACAATAAAAGTTCGTTTGGACCAGAATTAGCACCAGATTTAGCGAACAGATGGTCTAGCTACATCGTGCAAGGCTTAGATAAAGAAACGATCACTAAGACCTTTGATTCCGTCCTTTTTCCTAGTAACTGCTCACTTCTAGAAGCCCCTAAGAATAACCCAGAAGTGGAAGCTATGATTCCTCCAACAGACGTTAAGAGGGATAAATTCCTTATGTCATTACAAAACCAATTGGGAAAATCAATAACTGCCCTTGGTAACGTGATGACTAACATGCTTCAAAACGTTGAGTCCAACACAGATCCAGATCCCAATCTAGTCGGATTAGTCGATGCAGGAAAAATGTTGTGCTCCATTCATCACTTAATGAGCACACATCGAAAATATATGGTGCACCGACATTTCAATAAGAAAATGCAATTAGTGGCCATGGGTCAAAGCAGAGATTCAATGCTATTTGGTGACGATTTTGCAGAAACATGCAAATCTGCTAAAAACCTGGAGTCATTAGCAAAGGAACTGAAGTCTACAACGGCAACCAGCTCAAAAAACTTGAAGGGGCATGCCTCGAGGAACCGGTGGCGGCCAACAGACAACAAGAAGAGGCCCAGTTACAGCTACAACAAACCAACATTCAAGACAAACACTTGGAACAAAAAAGATCGCTACAAAAAGGGAAAACGCATCAAGAAACAACACGAATGGAAGGGGCGCCGTTAGAGGTAAAGAATTATATTAATTTTGCAGGAAGATTACGTTTTTTTATAAAGAATGGGAGGAAATAACCAACAACAGTCTCATCCTGAGCTGGATCAAGGGGTATAAAATTCCGTTTAATGAATTGCCTCACCAACATGTTCCTCCAAAAACACGAAGTATCCCCAAGAATATGGAAAAACTGTATTCGGACTGCATAAATAATCTTTTATCGAATGGTGCTGTAAAGCTTGTCGAAAAATGCAAGGGACAATTTTTATCGTCCTATTTCTTGAGAGAGAAATCAAACGGCAGTTACAGATTTATTTTAAATCTCAAAAACCTAAATACATATTCATCTCCACCACATTTTAAATTAGAGGACACTAGAACAGTAAAAAATTTAATAAGCGAGAATTGTTTTCTAGCCTCTATTGACTTGAAGGATGCCTATTTTTCGGTTCCAATCTCTCAGAAATATAAAAAGTTTTTAAGATTCGAATTTGAACAGAAGATTTTTGAATTTCAATGTCTTCCTTTTGGACTATCTACAGCGCCTTATGTCTTTACAAAAATTTTAAGACCAGTAACCCAGTATCTGAGGGAAAGAGGGCACACCTCTATTTTTTACTTAGATGATGCTTTGCTAAAAGTGAAAATGAAGATTGCTCAAAAAACATTAGTGAAACATGCGTTGTGCTAGAAAAGTTAGGTTTTGTCATAAACAGAGAAAAGAGTTTTTTGAAACCAACTCAAGAATTAACATATTTGGGGTTCGTGTTTAACACAAATGCAATGACATGCACCCTACGAAAGAAAAAGTCTATAAAATCAAAAAGATGACGAAGACAATTTTGTCTCAAAAGGAAATAAAAATTAGAATCTGGTGCAGATTTATTGGTGATTTAATATCAATTTGTCCTGGACACATTATGGCTGGCTCTATACCAAACAATTTGAGAGAGCAAAATACCTTGCCTTGAGAAATCATAACGGAAATTTTGAGAAACTCATGCACATCCCCCACCATCTTGAAAACGATCTTATTTGGTGGCTAGAAAATATAGAAACTTGTTATTTCAACTTAAAAGTTCCCAGTTATAAATTGACTTTGTTCACAGATGCTTCTTCCACAGGCTGGGGAGCAGTATGTAATAAAAAACAAGCAAGAGGGTTCTGGGATAAAGAGGAAGTTGTCAAGCACATTAATTACTTAGAACTTAAAGCAGCGTTTCTTGGTCTCAAAACGTTTGCCAGACATTTAACGCGATGTAGAATACTCTTAAGAATTGATAATATAACTGCCGTTTCTTACATCAATAGAATGGGTGGAGTCAAATATAAAAATTTAAACAAAATATCCAGGGAAATATGGAGATGGTGTGAAAAACGAAAAATACTCCTGTTTGCATCTCATATAAATTCCAAAGGTAATTTCTTAGCAGACTCGGCTTCTAGATCTAAATCTATCGAAACAGAATACTCTTTACATCCCGAAGCTTATATAACTATAACAAAACGTCTAGGAGTACCAGAAGTTGATCTTTTTGCCAGTTATCTAAATACTAAATGCAAAAACTTCGTATCTTGGTACCCAGATCCAGCAAGCTTCATGGTAGATGCTTTTACCTTGTCATGGGAAAGTATCAGGGCCTATATATTTCCACCCTTTTCTCTTATCCCAAAAGTTCTTCAAAAAATTAAATCCGAGGAAGCAGAATGCATAATGGTTTTCCCGATTTGGACGTCACAAGCTTGGTTTCCAAGCTTGGAAAATATGATCATATCCGAAACAATTATCTTCCATCCACAATACAACTTGCTCCTATCCCCTTTCAGGAAACCACGCCTCCTATGGAAGAACCTTACCCTGGGTGCAGCAATTTTATCTGGCAAATCTACTCCAGGAAAAACATATCGGAGACTTCAATAGAAATTATTGTTGGATCCTTTAGCCAAAACACACTAAAACAGTACAATAGCACATTTTTAAAATGGTGGTCATTTTGTACCGGCAATACTAATATAATATTTCAGGCAAACGCACATAACATTCTCAATTTTTTAACCCAGGAGTTTGAAAAGGGAGCAACATTCACAACAATTAATACACATAAATTTGCTCTAAATTTGCTATCTGAAGCTGGAAAATCTGTAGAGGTGGAGCGATTTATAAAAGGAGTTTTCAAGGCAAGGCCATCTTTCCAAGGTATGAAGAGATCTGGGATCTTTATCCGGTATTGGAAATGCTTGAGAAATTACATCCTTTAGAATCTCTGGACCTAACAAACCTGTCAGTTAAGCTAGTCTTATTACTTGCCCTTGGAACAGCTCAAAGGGTCCAAACACTAGCAAAAATAAAGTTGAGCAACATACTTTCCTCAGAAGACGGACTTAAAATCATGATTACCGATATATTGAAAACGTCAGCACCCAAGACGCCACAACCGGTATTGATATTTCCCTTTTTTAAGGAGAAACCAGAACTTTGCATAGCGACTACAATTCTTCATTATATAAAACGAACAAAACTATCCCGAAAGAGTGAAAACTCTCTTATATTAACTGTAAAGAAACCCCAACATCCTGCGACGACACAGACAATAAGTCGTTGGATAAAATATGGATTGGGAAAAATTGGAGTAGACATAAATAAATTTAAAGGTCATAGTACTCGCCACGCATCTTCCTCGGCCGCTTTCAAAACTGGATTGAATATTGAAATTATAAGGAAATCAGCTGGTTGGACTGAAAAGTCAAGCTCTTTTGCTAGGTTCTACAATAGACCGGTATCTGCCAAAGAAACACCATTTGCGTGTTACATAGAAACATTAACAAAATCGTAATGCGTAATGTGCTTTAATCCACGAATTAGAATTAAGTATCTATTTTCCTATTTACAGTTTTAGCAATTTCATTCTGTTTATATACCATATACCTTAATTCGTAATTAAATTAGAATAAGTTATACTATTTTCTGTCAAAATTGCTCGAATAAATTCTAGTAGCAAATTGTGCTTGGTTATGTTTCAATATCTCCGATCGCCTTCCAATATCTTTGAACATCTACAGGGTGATCTAGGAGGACGTGTCCAACAGAAGTATAATTGAGGATTAAACGACTTACCTGTAAAGAAGTTCAATCCCAATTATACGAGGTTGGACACGTCCTCCTAGATCACGCCCTCCCTTTTTAAGAATGTCTTGCCTTGAGACTACCCCAACCCAGAAGGCGATCCTGAACTTGTATCTACGCCGAAGTATAATGACGAGGCTTACGGAAGGCGGGAGCTGGGTCGAGCGGGCGGTGAATCATCTTTAAACTTGCGCCACACAGCAGTAAGAGGTACTACTACAGGGTGATCTAGGAGGACGTGTCCAACCTCGTATAATTGGGATTGAACTTCCTTGCAGGTAAGTCGTTTAATCCTCAATTTTTCTTTTTTGACTGGCGGAGATATCTATCTGACACTCGCAGGGTTGCCAAGTCTAACGACGATCAAGTCCCGTGGTGGAGGGTGCGAAATGAATCTTTTACATTTGCTGGTTTTGAATTTTGTTCGTATCATGATTATAAGCATCTTTGGTAGATTGTTCGATCCTGAATGGGAAAGATCTCCTATTTATGAAAATATTTTTGGTATCATTTAACTGTTGCAATCAGTGCACAAACACTGTGACATATAATACCCGCTGCCCTATCAATACAAATTTAACATACGGTCGCCTAGCCGTGGGGATGCAGTGGTCGGGATGAATATCACGGCAGCAACTGATGATTTGGGCATGTCTGGTAACAACGTATGAAGTGAAACTCGCTAACTTCACAAATTTGAAGATTTTGTACAATTTATTTGAAAATGATGAAATATATGTCTGATTTGGTAGGGTTATGTCGCAGCCAAATGGCAGTCACTCTTTCTCACACAGTCCGGATCGAAAGATGACGATACTCGTGAAATGTATTGATACTTCTAAATATAGGATCGTATCGAACATCCCTACTGTCAAGATGTATAGCCCAAGGTACCGACGGAGCTATATTGCGGCGCCAAGGAAATAATTTTAAATTTTCATTTGCATTTTTTTAAGTGTTGTGCAATGATTTTGGGAAAAATGTCACGAATAATCTTATAAAGCATAGTAGAGTATATTACAACAGTTGGCGGAACTTACTCCACTGGAACCAGGAGGGTGAAACGGGATATTAATGCACAATCTGGCAACCCTGTCGCACCCTCACAAAATGACCGCGGATAACCACACAAGTCACCGTGTTGTCATTGAATAGCATGGAATTAAACCTTCAGAGTATAATATGTTTTGTGACTGGTACCAAGAGTTGACAGATCCCAAACATGTGTCACTCCTTGAAATGCAATAATCAGCTGTATTCAAATAATGTCTAATATAAATATAACCTAGAATATGTACTCGTGAAAAAGAAAAATATGGCAAATTTGTAGTTTTTTTGCATGTTTTAGGTTTGATGGTAGCTTTAAGACGTACATATATTTGGGAATTTATTAATCGCTGTGGATATAGTGTGGATGTTTACGAACGAAAAATATTCAACTTTATGGATGTATGGATATCAAAAAACCTGAATGGTTTTGTGGGAATATCAATCTAAGGTGCCATAATGGTTCTGATGAACGGCAAGTAAATGAATGAATGTTTGGAAACGAGCATTATCTTTTGGTAGAGCCTGTCATGAAGTAGGTGCTTAATAGCTATCTGCAAGAGGTTTATAGGAAAAAAAACCAGTATCACATATCTATTGAAGGAAATAATATAAACATGAATAAAAAAATCAATAATAGTAATTAAAACATGAATTTAATTAAAAAATCAAACATTTCTTAAAATTTTGACTTAATTATATGTAATTTCTTAATATTCAATAAGCTGGTGATGTTTCAATGACAAGTTGTCATCTCATACTTTGACAGTATTTTGTTTTCAACATTTCATAGCTATTGGTTGCTAAAATTTGTTGATTGGATGTTGAAGCTCATTCGCTGTATCTGACGGTCTGTTACCCATAGGTGGAGAATAACGGACTGTTGTTGGTGAAATTGGGCCTAAGTGAGTTAACAGATCGAGAGTATTTAGAAATAATACAAAATAGCGATTCTGAGGGCGATTTCGATGGCGACGCCGAGGAATGGGAAAATATCCGATCAAGAAGATCAAAACAGTTGTTGAACAAACTAATACAGGGCGATGATCCTAGTACAAGTACTAGGCGGCTTGCAGCCCAGTTACCAAGTTCCCAAAGTCTTGCGTGGAGAATTTTAAGTCGGGAAGTTTTACATCCTTACCATCGGCAAAATGTGCAATGTCTGCAACCCGGCGACGAAGTGCAACAATGTGTTAAAATTTTAAACGTTCCATTCGCATTTGTATATTCAGATTTTGTTACTTACGTTATCTTTTTGTTATCTACATATGTGTGTTTGTATGCTTGAATATCATTTTTGTATGAAAATATCTTTGTAAATACAAATTTTTTTTTAAATTATCGCCATTTCACTAAAGAATATAATCAAATATACAAAGACGTATAGTCATTCTTAACCGGAAGTGGATAGATCAGCGTGTCATAAAATGTTGATTGGTAACGGGGAGCGGATAAATCAGCAAGCGGCGTTTTCCCCGTAAGGGCAGACATATTTTGTAACAAGATCCTCCGTTGCGAAAGGGTTAGGTGATGGAACCTTGTACGACCTACGCCAGAAAATTTAATGAATACACGTGGAAAATGAGGAATTTGCAGGAATACAGTGCCAAATAGAGTCATTAGCGCATGATGATGTCTTGGAAAAACAAATCGACGAGCGTGAGCTCGTAGAAAGCTATTTTGATCGCTATTTAGGTGTAGCAAAATTATTGATAAACGACAAATCAGAAGTCAAATCTGACAAAGTCCTCGTCATCGACCGCGAGCAGTGCGCATTTGCTTATACATGATAATGAATCTATAACTGATATACAGAAGTTTCGTTACTTGAAGGCTGCATTACAGGGTGATGCTGCAAATTCAATTCAATGTATAGATTTCACGGCAGCGAACTACAAAAACGCGTATGATGCTGTAATAGAGCGATATGACAACTATATATATATGTATATATATATAACCTTTTTTTGCAAAAATGGTGTATTCTACTTTTTAAAAAGTGTATCTATATGATGTAATGTAACGGGAACTCCTAAATACATATGAAATCTATTCTTTTTCAGTGTTATCGAGTTCAAAAGTTTATATGTACCTCAAAATTTCGTAAATTTATATAAATCAAAAACCGTTTTGTACTTCCTTAGCCTATAAAACAACACAAACTAAATATTAAATTGAAATGAAATAAGAAAAGAACATTTGCGCATTGGGTAAAAAATGTGATTTTGGTCATTATTCTTGAAGCTTTAGGCAACAATTTTTGCAACATTTACATTTACTTTAGACAATTTGCTTTTTTACACATGAAACACACATACTATGTCTTTCTTCTTAATCTTGAAGGACATATGTAGCAACATATCCTAGTCTTCAGTGTTTGATTTGAATACTGAGGTATATATCAACAGTCCTAAAAAATCTCTGATTACAGTTTCATCAACATCAGATAGTCCGATTTTCTTGCAATTCTTATAAATCAGACGAAGTTTTTCATTAGTTCTTTTTAATATCATGTTGTACATTTCCGCAGAGAAAAGCGCATCAAAATAGTATAAGCCACTATTTGACTTTTGCACATGAGAGCGTACTGATGGAAGAATAACGATGTTATGAGCAGGTGTGCGAACGTTTCTGGTAAGTTCTTTCTCACTCCACTTGAATATATTACGGCCATACAACTACCCAGCTTCTTCTGTATCAGTCTCTTCCTCCTCCTCCTCCTCCTCCTCCTCATCCTCCTCCTCCATAGTCGTTTTTTCGTTTTTCTGATCGATTTCCTGCTCGCTATCGGTTAAATAATCGCTGATAATTGGCTCTGCATCCTCTGATTCATCATTACTAAAGTCACTATTCGCCTCATTGTACTTTTGTCTACATATTTCTTCAAAATCGGAATCCGTTGGTTTCACCGTACTACTGTTGGACCAGCGAAAGATTGCAAGCCGAAAGAATGCGGACAAAAAATTGCGAAGTTGTCAGATGTTCTACATAAAATGCGGTCCATACATATTAACATATTTAAGATATAGAATTGTTCCGCTGAATTTGGCAATGTAGCTGGAAAACCCAGGCCGCAGGTAAACATCCGGTCGCTGATTGGTCCAAAACTCTTATCTTATCTGAAACTAGAATAACGTGCCGATGGCACGGTCATTTATAAACCTACTCCCATAGGCGTAGGCAGTTGGCAAATACTTTGAAAATATAATTTACTGTTTAGTGGTGATAATGGAATTCAAGCATGGGAAAGTTATTCACAGCCAGGCAAGGGAAATAATAGCAAACGTGATACGTGCTTGCGATGCAGAAGCGGCTAACAATACTTTCGTTTATCCACTGGTAGCTAGAAATGCAAGGGCGGCATATTATACGGGTGTTAGTGAACGAACTATAAGTAAAATTAGAAAAGAAGATAAAGACAGGCAAAATGCAACCTCCACACAGCCTTTAGCTTCTCCCGGAAAAAAGAGATCACGCCCTTCTGTGATCCAAAAAATTGATGGAGTCGATTTTTCCATTATTCGGAGAATGATAGAAAAATTTTACTGTGATTTTAAAGTGGTACCTACTTGTAGTAAACTTCTAATCAAACTGAAGGAAGAAATGGAATTTCCATTTGGTAAAGAATCGTTGAGGCTGCTTTTAAAAGCAAAAGGATTTTACTGGCGTAAATGCCACAACAAAAGGAAATTACTAATGGAAAGACCCAGTATTTTACATTGGCGATACAAGTATCTTAGGTCTATTAAAAAGTTCCGGGAAGAAGGAAGGCATATTATTTATTTGGACGAAACTTGGGTTGATAATGACCTCACTTTCAAGAAATGCTGGCAAAGCGAAGAAATTATGGGTG